ACTTTCAGGATCAAGCGATTTTTGGCCAAGAAACAAAAGCAAAATCGTCCCATTCCCCAGTGGATTCGAATGAAAACTGGTAATAAAATCAGGTAAGACACCACACACACACACTATTCTTTGTTTCAGATTACTTTTAGGGCATAAACATGCAGTTGAAAGTTACATGTAATCTAATCTGTTATCTGTCAACATTTTGAAGTCCTTTTTATTGTTTTGGGATTTGTTTGTGAAGTTGTTTTGTTTTTGCTAAGGCTGGCTTTGAACCTGCGATCCTCCTGCCTCAGCCTCCAAGCTGCTTGAATTACATGCATGTGCCACTGTGCCTGGCTTATTTGTTCATTTTTATGTGGTGCTAAGGATCGAACCCAGTACCTCATACCCCACTCTGCCACTGAGCTATAGCTCAGCTCCCCCAAAATCAGTTTTTGAAGTGGTCAGCTTTTTTTTTTTTTTTTTTTTAAGATTGCAACACTGCTCTCTACTGCAGAAATAGTTGAATTGATGAGTTTGGAAGAAAGACATCACTAGAATTGTTGTCAAGGACCTCCAAGGTCATCTAGGACTAAAACTCTGGTTTCCTATATGCCTTTTTCAGCCTGCTTCTCATACTAAGTGGGCTTTAAGACAAATCTTGAAGGGAGGAAAAGTAAGCATCAGAAATGAGTGAAATTTGCCCCGAGATAGCCAGTCACAATCACAATCCTAGAGTGTTAAATAAAATTCACAATTTTTGTTTGTTTAAAATTAAGTACCAGGTTCACTGGCTTTTCCAAATAACAGCTCAGAAGACCACATACAGGAGGTAGAGTGTTGAAGCTGACAGTAGAGTATGAGCTTAGCAAGTGGGTCCCTCTTGAAAGAGAAGACCACAAAGCTAGTGTAAACTCTCTGGATTGTACAGCAAATCTGTTGAAAGAGAAACTGGGACCCTTTCCATGTTCCTGTCAACTGATATCTGTGTTTTGGGTTGTGGGAATGAACAAAATGTATATAAAATGGAGTGCCTAATTCAATAGATAATCCTGGTTCTCTGGTCTCATACAGTTGGGGAGACATTTGCTATCTTCTAACTTTTATTTATTTTGTGTGTGCCTGGTGCCTGGGGCCTCATGTAGCCACAATCTCCAGCCCCTCTTTCAACTTTTAAAATTAATTGAGAGCAGGTTGCAATTACAGTGCTTCATTTTGTGGAAGTACTGCCATTATCCTGCTGAAAGAAAAGCTATGTTGATCATTTTTGATTTTGCCTTCTGGGGGTAAAATCATGACAGATTGACATGGACAATTCAGACATTGTTTTAGCTCTGGAATACACTATTACTATGGGGTATTAATTTGTTGTAAAGATAATGCAGGAGATTTTGTGTATGTGTGATCCATTAAGAGGAGGTTAAAGATACGCTTGTATCTACCCCCATTGTGTTGAATCAAAAGTGGGTGTGGGTACCCATGGAGGGGAGGGGAAGAAGGAGTTTCCTTTCTACTTGAGGTTAAAATTTGGTTTGACCCAGTTCTTACACAAATGTAACAAATAATTTTACTCTCAAGAACAATCCAAACTTGTTGAAGGAGAAACTGGGAACTTTGAATTTTGTTGTACCAAGTTTATGGTGAATGGAGACAGCTAAATTGTAGTCAGGCTGCCTTTGTAACTGTCAGTTTCCTTCTGTGTAGGTACAATTCCAAGAGGAGACACTGGAGGAGAACCAAGCTGGGTCTATAAGGAATGACGAGAAATGGCACACATATTTATCAAAGCTAGGATCATTTTGTCACATCCACCTGAAAATGTCTGCCCTATCTGGATAGTGTCACAGAAGCTGTAGTACTGGTTTGGGTTGGTTTGCTAATAAATATGTGAAA